TGAGATCATCATGGGCTTTAGGGTCATATTAGGACAGTGGGGAGTTGCAATTCTGTCACTTAAGTAGCTGTGTGTGACTTTGAGAAGGCCTTCAAGCCCTTCTTTCATCTGCCGGAAATCAGGGATAATCATAACCCTTTTGGGCAGAGCGTCTCAAAGGATGAAATAGATGATGAACCAACACAAGGCCCAGTGGGTCCAGGGCTCAGAACCACCCCGCCCCCACCCCTTCATTTCTTGCCCAGCTGCAGAAAGCTGGCAGCCGGCCCACCTGTTTGGCCTCTAGCCTCTGAGCATTTTCCTGACAGTCCACCAATCATGGTTCCAGGCCACTCTTGCACTCACCTTTATTCCCTAGGCAGCACGCCCACTGCCAGGGCACCCTGAGTTACCTCCTTCTGTGTTCTCCCTGCACTCTCATCACCCTCTAAGATCACCCCAGATGAGACGGAAGGTTCCTGGGTTTCATGCAGACAAGGGTTTTCCTGTCCTCTAAGGGGACCCTCACACCTTCCATCCTTGCCCAAGAGCAAGCAAGAATGGGTTTCATATAGTTAAATCTCACCATGGCAACCTTTTTTTTGTTTGTTTGTTTGGTTTCTCTGTGTAACAGTAGTTTTGGCTATCATGGAACTTTTTCTGTAGACCAGGATGGCCTCAAACTCACTGAGATCCACCTGCCTCTGCCTTCAGAGTTCTGGGACTGAAGGCGTGTGCCACCACCACCTGGCTGGCAACCTAGCTTCTAAGCACCTCAGGAGCTTTCCAGAACTCTGAGGAAGAAGCCAAAATGTTTTTGCTTCCCCAGCCAGTGTACCCCCACTCAAGTTCCTGAAGACATGGACATGCCCCTGCCCTGCCTTGAGAGCTGAGGACATAGCCAAACCCACCTCCCAGACTCCCCCCCCCCCCAGTGCCTTGTGAGCTGTCATCTATACCCCTCTGTCTCCTAGGTGACTCGATTTTACCTCTCAGGGTGGGGGGCTGTTTTTTCAAGACAGGGTTTCTCTGTGTATCCCTGACTATCCTGGTACTCACTCTATATATAGACCAGGCTAGCCTCAAACTCAGAGATCTGCCTGCCTCTGTCTCCCGAGTGCAGGGATTAAGACGTGTGCCACCAATGCCCGGCTTAGGTTTTTAATCTTAAAATGTCTCAAATCTATCCAAAAGTTGAAAGGATAGTATGCTAAAGTACACATATTCTTGTGTTTAAAAAAAAAAAAAAACAACCTAAATTAACTATTTCCTTTCCCAGGAAGGCGCCCACACACAAGTCCTTTCCTTCAGGAACCATGTAGAAGAACCACAGGCGTCACAACCTTTGACACAGTGTTTGCCTGTAAGGACTCCTATAAAATCACAAAAATAACAGTCATATTTGAGGAATTTAACATTAATATTGTAAGACACAGTCCACTAGCAAACCTTCCCAAATGCTCTCAGTATGTCCTTTTAATCTGCTTTTTAAACTAAATTTAGAATTTGACCAAGGAGCATGAATTGCCTTTGTCATGTCTCGTCCTTCTGCTTTAATCAGCACAGCCCCCTTGGGCCTTTCTTTCTTTTTTTTTTTTTTTAAATAACATCGATACTTTTAAGACATACAGACTAGTAGTCTTTTAAATGCCCACAGTCTGGGTTCCTTGATTCTTTTGGCAAAATATCAACATAATCCCACAGTCTCAGCAGGAACATTCCATGGGTGGTCATTTGAACTTTCCACATCAGGAAGCACTTAATGTCAGTTTGTCCTGTTAGCGGCTTTTGACATCTGTTTGCCTTGTTATCAGAACTGCTGTCTGTTCACTTGGTAACAGTTGTGTCCCCAGGTTCCTTCATTATGGTTTATTTTCAATTTTGTTTACTTATCTCTTTTGAAACAAGCTCTCTCTGTGTAGCCCAGGCTTCTTACCTCTGAACTTTGGGGCTCAACTCATTAACCCACCTGGGCCTCCATAGTGCTGGCACTGCAGATGTCCATCACAGTGTCCAGCCTTATAAAGCTATTTTTATCCATTTGTCTTCTGAGAGGTTAGACATAGAGCCCCAAACCTTTGATATGCTAGGCAAGCACTCTACCACCAAGCCAGTCTTGCTTTTTCTTTTTTTTTTTATAAATTTCTGTTTAAATTAGAAACAATCTTATTTTACATTTCAATCCCAGTTCCCTCCCATCCTCCCACGTCTCCCTGCCCCCATCCATCCCTCCAGGGAGAGCGAGGCCTTCCATGGGGGATCATCACAGTCTGTCACATCATTTGGGGTAGGGCCTAGGCCCTCCCCCCATGTCAGTCTTACTTTTTTGAGACTGGGTCTTTCTAGATAACAGGGCTGGCCTTAAACTCGCACTCTTTTCCCTCAGCCTCCAGGGTTACACACACATGCACACATGAACATAATTTCTTCCACTCTTCCAGGTCTGTCCTGAAACCCTTTTCTTTGATACCAAATTCTTCTTTTTACTTCATAGGGACCTAACTCTCCCTTAGCTCTCCTCATTCATTTAAGCAACTTTTATTTATTTACTTGTTTAAAGCAACTTTATCTCTATGCAGCCCAGACTGATCTTAAACTCTGAAAAATCTTCCTGTCCCCTGGGGAGCAGAAAGAGTATGGGATAGGTAGGGTGTTAGTTGGGGAGGCAGGGGAGGAGGGGAGGGAGAGGGAACTGGGATTGTCATGTAAAACAAGCTTGTTTCTAATTCAAATAAAAAAAATGGAGGAAAAAATAAATCTTCCTGTCTCAGCCTCTGAGTGCTGGGATTATTGGCATGCACCACCAGGCCTAGCCTGGCAGCAATTGTTTATCAGGGGATCTTCTCTGTGCCAGATGGTGCCAATGTGTGGCAGGATGTATGTGGGGCCAGATGGGTGTCATGTTTCTTCCCTCAGCCCTGCAAACTAGAATAATTTGATCCTTGAAAATCCATATGATGGCTAGGTATGGTTGTGTATACTTTTAATCCCAGCACTCACAAGACTTGAGACAGGAGAATTACTATGACTTTGAGGCCCACATGGGTTGTACGAGTTGTAGGCCAGGCTGGCCTACAGAGTGAGACTGTCACGAAAACAAACAAAAAACAAAGACAGACAGAGACAGAGAGGAAGGAAGGAAAGAGACACGGAAATTGTCACCCTGGGAAAGGTCCACACTGAGCATGATGAGTTACAATCTCTTAGCATTCTTATTAGTTTAAAAAACATGAGTCACTTCATGTTTTCAATGCACAGTGCTTCAAAGTGACCTGATGAAGCCAGGTGCCCAGGCTTCCTACCAAGTGCTTCAGTAGGAGACTGACACTTGTTCCTGAGGCACTTGAAGGAGCAGATGGGACACCAGTAGTTCCAGGACCACACAGGGCCCCGCCCAGCCCTGGTAAATTTTAGAAACCCCAGGACATATTTTATTTACATCACAAAAACAAAGGCTGTGGTTTCACATTCTGGGGATCAGCAAGAGGGAGCTTATAGGGGAAGTTACTGGGGTGTGTGTGTGTGTGTGTGTGTGTGTGTGTGTGTGTGTGTGAAGCAGGATGGACAGCTTGGTGAGACTGTAGACTACATGGAGGACTTAGGAAAACACTGAGCAGATCTGAACTTGGGAAACTGCTGGTGGCTGCTGGGTGGTTACTTAGGGCCTCCCGAGTTCCCTGTTATTTTCTCTCTTGTTTCTGGCCCTTCCTCATTGTTTCTTCCACTGTCCTCAGGCTGTGACAGTAGGTCACAACCTATCTTGAAGGATGGAGGAATGGCATTCACTTAATGCACCCAGGCGAGACAGCAGCAAGTTGGCCCAGGGAATGGACTCATTGGGGTCTGGCTTCTGAAGGATTATATAAACTCCCCTACTCCATTCGGAAACTGGTCTTGGGTATGGGGTAGGGATAGATCTGTGAACCCTGGTAAGAGGCTGAGGGAGAATGAGCAGGGCTGGCCTGGGATACTGGTGACCATGTCACTGTCTCCACAGCTCTCAAAATGGTGATGAAACCGGCACCTGGCCCAACAACCAGTTTGATACAGAGATGCTGCAAGCCATGATCTTGGCCTCTGCCAGTGGTAAGTGGTACCCATGGGTATGAAAGGATGGGAGACTGAGGGAGGGGTGTTGCCATCATAGCTATGGATGGGGTATAAGTCTGTGTGACTTCTCTGAAAGATCAAGTGATCTCCCATGACCTAGCTCCAGGTTGAGAAATAACAAAGGGATTGAGAGGTCCTAAAAGCCCAGTGCAGAGTGAGCAAGTAATCTACCAAGGAGATGTAAAGGGAGCAGTTATAAGTCTAACTGTGAGGTGGACATGGAGGCATATGCCTGTAATCTCAGCATTGCATAGGCTAAGGCAGGAGGATTTCCAGAATTTGAGACCAGTCTGGGTTACAAAGCAAGACCTTGCCTCAAAAAACAGACAGACAAGTCTGACTCTGAGAAGGGTCAGCACAGGTCACACCAGAGCTCTACCACTTACTGACCTTGTGACTTGGAGTAGTTTGTTTGTTCTCTTTAAACTTAAGCTTCCTCAGCCAAGAAAATGGCTAACAACCCCACCAGGTTACTGTGAGGACTGAAGGAGCTGTGAGTACTGGGCCCGGCACATGTTAGACTCGGTTAGTGGGTGTGGATGTTCCCAACAGATGACATCAGGCCACTCTTTTCTGCTCCCCTTTGTCTCCAGGTCATAACTGTAGTTTTCTTAGCCACAAGGTTAATAAAGAGCCTCAGTTGTAACATTGATTCAGGCCATAGTTGTCCATGAAGAGTCACACGGTCCTTCCACTGCTTGGGCAAGCAGAATCAGTTCACGAACACTTAAGAGCACAGGCTTTGGAAGCAGGCCAATCTGGGTTCAAATCCTGCTGTCTCCACTTAGGGCTAAGGCATTAGGTAAACAATTAAGCCCCTCTGGGCCTCACTTTCACTTATGAAATATTTATAGGTCTCATTGTACTGTTTGAAGGTCAAATATGATTCCCCAACATAGGCTTGGTAGACAGTGGTTATAGTAACAGTGCTATAATTGATTAGTCATTATCTTTATTGACCGGTAGGGATAAAAGAGAGAGAGAGAGAAAAAAAAATAAAAGAAGCAGCAGCATTTTTCTTTCAAGACAGGGGCAAATGTAGCCAGGCTGATTTCCAACTCCAAAGTGTCTGAGGATGACCTTGAACTTCTGATCCTCTTGTCTCCCTCTCCTGAATGCTGGGATAATAGCTGTGTGATACTATCTATGCCTGGTTTATAAGGTGCTGGGGATCAAATCCCCAGGACTTTGAACATGCCAGAGAAGCACACCCCAGAATCAGAATCTAACTTCTATTACACATGAGTAAAGGTACCACCATAAAACTCATTACTTTGTATTCTAATCCAAAAAAATTAAAATGGAATAAGTTACAAGAAAAAGAACCTAGCACCTGTTGACAAGGACTAACTTCCGGCCCAGAAAAAGTGGAATCTATGGGAAGTTTACAGAAGATTAAGGCCCTGGACTCACACCTTGAGTGTAGCTGAGGGACTGATAGACCTATCATCATGGCAAACTTTTAGGACTTTGTTTCAACTAATCCTCTCTACAATGGTGAGACGTAAGGCAAGCTCTGATGCTCTGTGCTTGGCAGAGGGATGTGAAATGCCACCCACCTGGAGCGCCCCAGTATTCAGCAGAGCTGGGATTCTAACTCAGCTCTGCTCCCAGGGCCATGCTCTTTCTTCCACAGTCACCTTTGACCTTTAGGTCTAGCCTGTTGCCCTCTTAGCTGACTGGACCTAGAGGCTGGATTCTCCTGGTGTGCCCTGCATTATTCTCCCTAATTAGAGTTGCCCAATAAAATCTAGAGTTGCCAGTTAAATCTGCTTTTCAGATGCATATATAATTTGGGTGGTTTTGTTGTTGTTGTTTTTTCTAGACAGGATTTCTCTGTGTAGCTCTGGCTGTTCTGGAACTCATCCTATTGACCAGGCTGATCTCAGAGGTCTGCTTTCCTCTGCCTCTGGGATTAACTACTGCCACCTATTATACAGTTTTAGTATAATCCATCTTATACTGTTCCACAAGGCAAACTATATTAAAAATTTTAATCATCTACCCAAAGTTCAGAGATAGCTGGAAACCATATATTTTTTACTTATTATGATTTATTAATCTAACCCTCCATGTCTGTGAGAGTGAATGATGCCTGGCCTTTGGATGACCAAAGGGCAGAGGATGGGGAAACATGATGGGGCTTCAACCTCTTGGGACAGGGCTGAGATCCTTGAGCTCCAGCTGCAGGCACTGGGCCTGGGGAGGTGCCAGGTCCAGCTCTTGAGGGAAGTAAACAGGTCTCTTTAGCTGTTGTGGCCCTGAGCCCTAAGGCCAAAAAGCAGGCTTTTCAGCCCAAATCCAGATGCTAAAAACAGACATGGAAGCAGTATTTATGGCCCAAAACCTTCCCAGAAGGTCTCCCTGGAATAGTGCCATGGCCACATGCATGCTCCCCTGTCAAGGCCCCACCCATCCAGCCCACACAGGACCTGACCCAAGGCTGAGCCTGGGGCTCTGGGGGAGCAGACTCCCGGGGTGGAGGTGGCAGGGTCAAGCCCTGCTCTTGCTTTCACACCTACTTCCTAGTCTCAAAGCCTGAGAGGCTCCTGGAGCCCAGCCCAGTGAGGGGAGATGGGAGGGACCCTTGA